ATTACTGTGTAAAAGTAGATTTACCCTGTAAAATTGCTCAGAGAGTATGTGGTCTCACATACTATATTTTGCAAGGATTAGCTAATCAGCACTTTTTGCACAYACCTGGAAGAGCATGTCTGTGTTTGTCGAGTGGAGGAGGAGCATGCATAGACAACAGATGGAAGAAAGAGCAGGGATTTTAGGATGGAGTATAACACTCTTATGGCAAATAGAACAGCAAGAAAACCAGAAGAGTTACATTTCTCAGTGAGAAAACTTAAAAATGGGAAGAACATTCAGCTGTGGTTAGCCAAACCATTACCCACTTCCCTGCTCCTTATTTCTGTATATTGTCTCTCGAGCTCTTTAACAGGAAATTACTATCATTGCAACTGCTGTTTGTTGTTATTTCAATATTATGAAATGAAACTTTATGGACTATCTCCCAGCAGTTGGAGAGATGTTTCAAGTTATTGGCAGATTGCTCATAAGTGATAAGCAACARTTTAGTAACAACCATCCCTTCAGCTAAATATAGTATATACACTATATTCTGTGGTTGTAAACTGGATATGGAGCGTAGAAAAACTGTTTAATATTCCATGTTTTCTGCCAACTTAAAACTATAAAGACTATGAACACATACTTACTTAAACAGAAATAAATATTTCTGGAGATTAAAATAACAGAAACATATGATATTATGAGCAAGGCTTGATGCATTTAGAAATATAAATGAATTTGAAATAAGTATCCTTTGCTCAATTGACCCTGGGTTTAAGATCAGGGAAGATCATAGAGTTCCTAGAGAAACTCTAGGACCACCAGTGTTTTTTCTCTTATTTCCACTAGCAGAGTAGGAGAAAGTATGCTGAAGAAAACAAGTATGCCCTTGTGTCAGTGTAAATCCTTGGTGGCCATTCTTTGTGGGTTAGAGAGGAATTTTGATTACAATAGTTTCTCTTGAGCAGATTGGTTCAGTTTAGAGCAGTGCAAAGAGTGAATGCTTGTACAGATAAAACCTACATCACCTTTTCACACTGTATGATGAGGTATAGATTCTGTAGCATACCAAAAYTAAATAATACGGTGTTGAGTTTAAACTCTGTGGATGTTGTATGACTGTCTTGATAGATTTTTTCAGTACCTTATGAGAAAAAAAAATGTATTTCCTGGATAATTATATCAGAATGATGCTGAAAGAGCAATGTCCTTTTCATGGAGTTGATTTGAGAAGGACTCTGTTAGCAGTTAATTTTATCTCAGCAAGACAGCCAACTCAGGCTAAAAGCACTTGTACCACCTTCACTAAGGGCTTTCATTTATAGATAACACGGAGTTAGAGAAAATGCTCTGTTTCTATGCCTATAATGAAAGCAAGACAACCTCTTTTTATTTCCAAATTATGTATCTGTTTTGCATAAGAGAKCTTAGCAGTCCATACAAATATTGGCATTTTATGTTTAGTGGGTGCAATGGAAAYTGCAGCCCTTGGGAGTGAGATCAATACCCACACAGCCTTCTGAGGATTTAGAAGGGAAAAAGAGTACACAAATACTCTTCAGATGAAGGTAAAGAATCTACAAGGGGCAAGCTGTGAAAGGCAGGTTTCCTTCCTGAAAGAAGACAGTATTTTTTGAATTTTAAGACTTATTCRTTTGTACCTAGTTAGTTTTAATATTAAGCAAAGAAGCCTTCTTATTGTGGGTGTTACCTATCCCATTGAAAAAGCAACTGTATATGCATGTATGCACATGTGCATGCACACATACACATACACTTATTTAATGCTCTTAAATAAAAAGACACATACTCAGTGACACATACTCAGCTGTAAGAATTTTAGTCCTAATGATCTATTGAACTTTTCTAGGAATCCTGCTGAGAGAGGCAGGGCTACAATTATAGCCATTTCTCCCTCCAGCTGCTTCTTTCAGTGGATTTATTTTTTTGATTGCAGTAGAAATTTCATATCAGACATATCACAAGAGTGAACCCTGTGATTACAATTTTTGGTGTTTATTTTCAAGTGCTGCTTTGAAAGAAGTGCTAGTAAGGTGACTTAGAGGATTGCAATTCCAGACTGCTAGATGAAAATCTCAAAACTTGCCACTGCAGGATTGTTCCCCTGTGTAAGGAGGCCTGTGAAATGAAGTGTGACACTGCATTATCTCCTGAAGTTCAAATACATAATGCCTTGCACCCATTCGTTCATTCATAAGGAAGAGGACAGAAGCAGAGCTATTACTGCAGTACACCACACTTTCCTCTCTGAAATGTCACTGAATTAGCACCCCAAATTTATAGCCCCTGGGACATCCTTCCACTGGAACTTGCAGTTTTACATTTAGTCAGGATAATGCCAGCTTAAACACTATAAGTTAGAAGAGACCTCTTGGAGCTGCCAAGTGACAGACTATTTCTCTTTTGCTCACTTTAATACTTATGGAGTAAGTTGCTCTGCACTTTGAACAGTGATACCAGGATCTATCCAGTAGGAAGTCTGGACTGAGTCATGAACAGAGCTTTGTTTTCCTGGTCCCAGTGTTGGTCGTCAGCTGAGAGGAGGGAAATTCTCTTCTTTCTTGAGAACTCACTGACTCACTGACAGTTGATCCTTGAATTCTGAATTATGTATTCCAAATAGATATATATATAATGATTTTTGTTTTATATGGGTTGTATTATACTATATAATTCTGTCATTATAGTTTCTCATCACATGAGAAGAACAGAATTCATGAAAAATCTGAATTAGGGAATTTTAAGAAGACCAGGGGCTTCCTAAAAAAATAGGGTTGAGGGGTGAGAAAAGAACATACATAGAAATTTGGAAAGGTTGCCAAATTTTATTTTGAAAGAAAACTGAATCAAGATAAAGGTTGATGGAAACACATAGCATGGAATTTCAAATTAAATATTAAGTTTGAGAAGACTTTAATAGTGGCTGAAACAGGGTCATAGAATGCAAAGTATTAGACAAACTTATCTGTCCTCAACTGCCAGATTAGTCTGAAGATTCCTCATCATTCATATGGTTCATCACACTCCATTATTACTGTCAGACTAACTTGATGGTGACAAGCATGTTAAAGGCTGTCCTACAGTGGTATTATTGTCATATTTATTTTAAGAATAAGATGATCATGAGACAGCTTGAATCTGATTTTCCTGGTGCTACACAGACTTGCACAGTGAAACTGATGATGCTACTCTATTCATTGAGTGCTATTTAGCCCTTAAATTCATTTATACAGCTATGGAAATTTCCAAAGGGATAGATGCTACCAAAATAAATAGGTTTGTCCAAACATTACAAGAATGTGTGGTCACAAATTTCTATCAGTTGTGTAATGTCACTAACCTCAACAGAAAAGCCATTCCGAATTTAACTCATGCAACAAGGAACAGAATTTCTTTCTCATTTTTGTTTTTGATGACATAGCCTCAGCAATTTTTATAGTAGTCCTTTCATTTCTATTCAAACTGGCTATGTTCACTCATAGTATTAAGGAGGAGAATGTCCAGATGTTTGGATTTCCCCCTGTTCTCACTGATGTGAGGATTTTTGACCATCTGCTTCTTCTCCATGCAGAGCGTCTCTTTTAACATCTGCTACCTTTTATATTTGTGGTCATGGTTTTCTTCCCCAGTTCCTATGTTTTTCATCCTTTTCTTGTCCATCTGTTTGTGTTTGGAAAGATGCCCTAAACTCCAGGGAGCTGGCAGCCTCTCTTCTTCCCATTGACAAAGATCCTGAGATGGTGTGAAATAGTCAGATGGCTGAACTGATTGGCCTTGGTTGGCTTTTCTGTATGCAAGCACCACTAGGAGATTCCAGATGTGAAGAGGGAGCACTGGTAGCTGTCTCTGCTTGTCCTGTTCTCTTTTTCATGTCATCTTGAGCTTCCTGAGAAGCTCAAGGTCAACTAATATTAGCAGTCCCTGTGGAGAGAAGAGTTAGCCGCCTTATTTCCCTGGATAAGTCCTTGTTCRGTGCACACTTTCTCATCATACTGACCTTTGCCTTTTCTTCCCTTCCTGTAGTGTTGTGGGCCAGATGAAAGCCAGATTACTTATGTAGCCAAAACCAAACTCATTCTTGAGAGCTGAAGCATTTGTTGAGGGATTGTGTGCCGAGATTGCTGCAGATGTGTGGGCAGGCAGACTGCATATCATAATGCTGTCAATGAAGCTGCAGAACTTTTGGCTTTCAGTGCTTCTCAGGCTGCCTTTATCCAGAGCCAGAGGGCTTCTGTAATTTCTTTTCCACCCACTCCCTCCCAAGGGATAGCTTTCCTTAAAGAAAATGAAGGATGAGAAAGAGGTAAGGCCTGTTGGAAGAGACCAGAGGGAACAGTCTGCTGAACTTGATGCCTAAAGATATCCCTATTCACACTCATTTAGCCTTCATGGTAGACAGCATTTCCTTTTTGAAAACAGCAGAGATAGATGCAGTCAAAAGTCCATAGCAGTAATACCTATTTTTAAATTCTCCTTGTCCCAGGAAAAGCCATTTCCCAGTGAGAAGTTATGGAGTCTTCATTATTTTTGTTGTGAGTCTTTGCCTTTTGTAATCTTCCTCATAATGTGTTTTTCTAGCTGGGCAAATAAAAATTGTGAATTATAAACATGTAGCACAGTTCTCACCCAAGAGCGAGGTGCCCAACCWGGATAGTATCAACTATAGCTGCAAGCAGCTTCTCATTTAGGGAAATAGATTTTTCTGTATTACTGCAATGGGAAAATATTGTCACGTCTCAGCTGATGTCTTCTTTTGTAGTAGAAGTAATGATCTTCTTTGGTTATAATGGTTATGAACCACTATGCAATCATATGTCAGGCTTTGACTGCACCTGTTTGCAAACTCAGATAATTATGCTCCCTTGTCTAATTGCTTACTTTATGGATGTTTTGCTCACATGTTTTTAAGCAATGCTATTTGATTGCAGATAACTAATGGTAGCAATCTCTGCTCATTATCTTACGGTAACATTTGATTTGTCTGATTGCTGCAGGTGGAAACAATAGGTGATGCATACTGTGTGGCAGCAGGGCTGCACAAGAAAAGCCTTAGTCATGCKAAAGCCATCGCCCTGATGGCACTGAAGATGATGGAGCTTTCAGAAGAGGTTCTCACACCGGATGGGAGCCCTATTAAGGTAACCTCTTTGATCTTTATTCTGTGCTGGTCAGTGCTACAGTTGGTCTGATTAATTCTACCATTTTTCTGTTGGTAGAAATCTGCTTTGTGTTAGGAGAATTTGGAATTCTATCAAGATGTCACAGGCTGTTTTATGGATATATATATATATATATTCAACAATCATTTAAACTACGCTTACTTTTGCAAGCAGAGTAGATCAATACAAGCAGATCTGCAAGCCAAAACCTGATGGCTAGGGACCTGACACCCACRCTACACATACTTTAGAGCTTTTTCGACTTCCTATTTATGGCAGGAATACTCCTCAAGATACGCTCCTCAAGCCCTTCTTCCAATTCAGTTTAGTCCAAAAAGAAGACTGTTCACATGCTTAGTGCTGTTCCAAGCTACAAGATGAAGAGGGTTGCATGAGGGCAATGGAAAAACTGACTTCAAAAGTAGGCTTTTGATCTGAACTAAAACACAAAAGTAGATCCACTCTGGGCTCTGTTGGTCTAGGGGGCCAAATTTCTCTTTTATAAATAGTTACTGACCTGAGTAAAAGAAGAGTGTGTGAACTTCCTGCTCTTTCTTGATCATAATGTGTTTCCCACTCCCTCAAGCTCCAGTTTTCTCTGGTCTAGGACCAAAGAGTCACGGGAGGTGGAAGAAAACATGTCTTTTTGTGCCATTTTAAAATTCCACTGTGATGTTTTGCTTCTTTTGATGCTATAGTGACGTTATAGTTATTAGTATTTGGAATATTTAGGTGGAAAATGGAGGGAGGGAGAAAATCTGTAAATATATGACTTTCTTTTTAAGGGGTCAGATTACACATTATTCTCATTATGTTTATTTACTCCACTGTGTATCCAGTGAAATTGTTCTTCCCATAAGACAGACTTTTTGTTTTCAAAGAAAATGAGGGAATTATGTAGAATAGTATTCAACACTGTCTAAAGCATATAACAAAAGCCATATGTAGCTGGATGAGAAGGCCAGACAGAGTTCCCACAGGATGCTTTCATAATGGTTAAATTGCACTTTGTATATTATAATTCTCGTCTGTTAGAAAATGAGAATTCTGTCCGTGGAAACTCTTCTTTCCTCTGGTAAAACATCAAGGACCAGTTTTGAGGGTTTCAAATATAATATAAAAGACCTAACATTTTGAAAATACAAGTTTGTAGATGCTGTTGTGATACTTCTTGAGAAATGAAATAATATTCCTCTGAGWTTTCACTCTTCTGTATCTTATTAGCCAGATTGTAACTTGAACTTCATTCACTCTACTTTCTATGTATGAAGAGAGACACATAAATCAATCAAGAAAGATTTTGTCTAGGTGAGTGGGTCTACCCAGAAAGGAAAATGTTGCAACAAGGCAACTGAGCTAGAATAGTTCCATAAAACATGATAACACAATATTCATATAAAAGTATTTTTAAATTTTAGATTTTCTAGATTGTTTGGCAGTTTCTTTATTTGTCCTGAGAATATAGCTGATTAATAAATTCTGGGTTCCTTGTCAGACATTGGAAAAGCTGCCTTCTGGATCATCCCCATCCATCCTTTGCTTTCTTTAAAATGACTTATTTTATTCAGTCATAGGGAAGTACTGAAGCATATGCTTTACTTCGATTCACAGTGATGCTGAAGTAATTTGTGACTGTTTTCGTTATTACCACCATTAATTTTCAGAAAATGCCCTATGGTTGCAATGACTGCATAAGAAAACTTATTAAAAATAAACTATAAAGAATGCAGAAGAAAAATGCTTGCAGAGAAGAAAGTTCTAGGAATAATGAAATATTTTTGCCAAAAGCCTTAATGTGCCTTCTTGGAATTCAGAAGAAAAAGTCAGTTTATCATAATTTAACCTGAAAGTAGAGACATTAAGGATGTCCTCCGTAACTTTACTGCTCTTAGTCTTAGCTATTACAGATTTCAAAGCAGGAGGAATGCTTTCCTAGCAAACCTAGCATTCACCTAAATATCTACCCTCTAAAACTGTAGAAATAGGACTTTTAATGAAGCCTACTCTAATTTGTCCTAGTTTAAGCATCTACTCTAGAATGAGATGAATCTCACCCTAAAAATAGGTATTTTTTCTCAGTTGTTCATAAGGGAAATCTATAGGCGTAGCCCAGGCGTGGATATCTACCCTGTGAATTTCTACACTTCGTCAGATGAATCCTCCTGCAAATGSCAAAGATTGCATAGTTTTTCTTGGTGATGATATCTGTGATTTGTACAGTAATAGTATGTGTAATTTTTCTAAATTGAGTTTTYCTGACTTTAATTTATGGCCAATATTGCATTCTATAAAATAACCCAATTTCAGTGGCTGTCAGTTCTTCACTTATATTGCTTCAAAGTGGTGAGGGGAGCATCCTGCCACAGATGCACATTCGCAAATGCTCCACATGCATGCATCCTCCTGAAGCTCAAGGAACCCTGTGGTGTGTATAAAAGTTACCATGGAATCTGCTCAAAACTGAATCAGGAGACTTGTTTCTTCAAGTACTTTCCAATTATGCCTTGCCATTAAATTATTTAATATATTTATTGCCTGATACAAATTCACTGTATGAACTGTAAGACATTTAAGTGCCTAACTTTGAAACAGTGAATAAAAGAAGGGTATCATAAAATGGCTATTTTTAGTTGTTCCTGTTGCTATGGATGGCAAAACAAGTGCAATATTTCGATAGTATTTTGACCTGAATTCTACTCATGCTTCCTGCTTCCCGAAACAATGCCCATTCCTTGGAATTATCCTTGCCAGATGCATTGAATATTGGATACTGGTACAGTTTGACTTTTTCTAATATTTAAAAATCTATTAGTATTTGGATGTTTGAAATGAGAAGGAACTTTTCCTCATGCCCAACTCTGTTAAAAATATCTTTCATGGTCTTCACAAGCTGTGTGACTAAATCCGGAGCTCATTCTTCAGGATACTCTGGTAGCTATTTTGTAAAGAGCTAGTCAGTTGYTTCACTGACTGCAAGAAAGGTTTTGAGACAAATTCTTAAAAATAAGGGATTCTCTGATCTCAAGACAAAACAGTGTATATTCCCCAYAGTGACTGATAAGACTTGATTAAATAGGAAGAAATTATTCGTAGCCCTTTATATAGGACATTACACCACAGATATTTAAGTTTTAATTTTTGTTCACAAACTAACAATTTTAGTATATCTATTCTGGTTTAATAATGTCTTCTGATAAGAAGGAAACATGTTAGTCTCCGTGGCTTTTGCTGGGAATTTCTTTTCCAGAGACACCTCTCTTGGAAATGTGTCTGAAATGCTGACGTCTCTGAGATCAGCACTGGTTAGTCCCCAAATTTGTGGGGTGTCACTGATCTCATACACTTCTAAGATGGTTAATTACTTAAGAGGRTATTTTTTTTCTTTAGATGGATTCAAATTATGAATCTGCTTGGGTTGCCTTGCTCGCAGAGATTTCTGTGTGAGGGAATAAGGGGAACAGAGACAGTATGAAAAACCTATCTGCAATTAGGAAATGCAGTACTTGAGATGTAACTCTTATTTCATGATTACTCAATTAGATATGTCTGGCTGTATGATTATGGCTGTGGAATATGCTTATTTTCTAAATTGCTTTGATAGATATATTTTGTTGTCATCTCAGGATTGAATTCACCAGAAGGCAAATGTTTACCTTCTGTGTTGCTTGAAAAGATCATCCCTGTGATAACAACGGACATCTCATTAAATAATGTTWTGGAGTCTACGAAACAGACTCAGGAAGTCAGGGAAAATAAATAAATGAATGAATGAAAAATAAATGAATGAATAATAATAATAAAAAAGAACCCTATCACCTCAGTGGAAGATGGAATAAKATTTGCACATAAAAAAGTGCATTGACAGAGATCCAAATAAAGCTCGTTATTTGAATGCACGATTAGCACTGAAATGCATTGGGTTGCCTTTTCCCCATTGGGAAAATCACAAAATCACAGAATGGTTGAGGTTGAGGTTGGAAGGGACCTCTAGAGATCATCTTGTCCAATCSCCCTGCTCAGACACCTGGAGTACAGGGCACAGGGTCACATCCAGGTAGGTCTGGAAGACCTACAGAGGAGACTCCACAACCTCCCTGAGCAGCCTGTTCCAGGGCTCTGTCACTCTTGCAGTCAAGAATTTCTTCCTCAAAGTGCAGATGGTACTTCCTGTGTTTCAATTTGTACCCACTACTCCTTGTCCTGTCACTGGCCACCACTGAGAAGAATTTGGCCCTCTTAGAAGATCRCATTCTCCCCTCAGATATTTGTGCATATTTATCAGATCTCCTCTCTGTCTTCTCCAATCTAAACAGGCCCAGCTCACTTAGTCTTTCCTCATACACAGTAGTTCTTCTGTGGGTGACGGGGAAGGCTTCAGGTCCCTGCATGATTTTTTTTTTTTTTTTTTTTTTTTTTTTTTGCTTTGTGCTATTTGAGGCAGAATCCCTTTACTTTAAAGCGAACTAAGGTCTTAATGCCAAAGAGGGACTTTTGGCTCATATGCTATATGTGAAAATTGGATATGCATTTATACCCTTTCAGCAAAAACCTTTTGGTCCGGAGACACTCAGTTCTTTTAGGTTGTGCTGCTAGTTATATTTAGTGCCTTCTGAATGTAGATTGAAAATATGGATATAAAATTATCTCATACCTTTAAGTGAACATTACTTGAATTTAAGATATGCTTCATATCTTACTGTATTTCTTTAGACAATGTAGAAGTATATTAATTTTAATAGCTAGAGGTAATGCTGTAACAATTCTGTAGAGCACTGACCTTCAGAGTTAAAGGTCATCACATCTCATTTAATGTGTTAAACATATAAGATAACATTAGTGGCATCACTTTTTATCATGACTCAAWTAATGCCTTAATTATTTAATATGTAGTGTATATGCAAATGAAACAGAAATGTTTCATTTCCAGCTTATTGAATAATGGATATTGTTAAAGGGATGGTCTGGCAGAATGTACCTAG